GATAGTTCTTTGGTGAGATAGTTCATAGCTTTCATCTGATTCTCAAGAACACTTATGATCCCTCTCCCCAAAGCTCAGAAACAACTGATCTGGAGAAAGAAAGGAAATATGACTAATGCATGCATGAGGCATGCCATTTGTATTTATGAATTAGCTTTTAGTGGTAATGGTTTAGAAGAAAGCAGCACTAAGCTCACATGGGCAGGACGGCAGGCAGCATATTGAATTGGCTAATATTCCAAGATTAGATGGAAAGGAAGTTCTCTGCAAAAGAGGAAATTCCTCCTGTCAAACAAAAGGAAACTTTAGAATGTACTAAAGAATATGGCATAGTGACAGAAATAGAAAGCGGTCTTACAAAATAAGCAATGAGGAAAGGACTCTCTATTCAATATCCAGAATCTATAAGGGGCATAAACAAATTTACAAGTAAAAAACAACCCCATTAAAAAATGGGCAAAGGACATGAGCAGACTTTTCCAAAGAAGGCATACACATGGCCAACAAGCATATGAAAAATGCTCAACATTACTAATCATTAAAGAAATCCAAATCAAAACTGCAAAACTACCATCTCACACCAGTCCGAATGGCTGCTATAGACTCCCACACATTAAGAGTGGGAAACCTTAACCTGCCGCTACCAATATTAGACAGATCAACGAGACAGGAAATTAACAAGGATATTCAGGATTTGAACTTAGCTCTGGACCAGGAGAACCTAATAGACATCTACAGAACTCATCACCCCAAATCAATAGAATATATGTTCTTCTCAGCACCATACTGTACTTATTCTAAAATTACCAGATAATTGGAAGTACAACACTCCTCAGCAAATGCAAAAGATCGAAAATCATAACAAACAGTCTCAGGCCACGGTGCAATCAAATTATAACCCAGGATCAAGAAACTCACTCAAAACCGCACAACTACATGGAAACTGAACAACCTGCTCCTGAATGACTAGTGAGTAAATAGTGAAATTAAGGCAGAAATAAATAATTTTTTTGAAACCAATGAGAACAAAGACACAATGTACCAGAATCTCAGGGACACACTTTAAAGCAGTGTTTAGAGGGAAATTTATAGTACTAAATGACCACAGGAGAAAGCAGGGAAGATCTAAAATTGACCTCCTAATATCACAATTAAAAGAACTACAGAAGCAAGAGCAAACAAATTCAAAAGCTAGAAGAAGACAAGAAATAACTAAGATCACAGCAGAACTGAAGGAGATAGAGATGTGAAAAACCCTTCAAAAAAATCAGTGAACCCAGAAGCCGATTTTTTGAAAAGATTAACAAAACAGACCACTAGCCAGACTAATAAAGAAGAAAAAAGAGAAGAATCAAATAGACACAATAAAAAAGGATAAAGGGGATATCACCACTGATCCAAAGAAATAAAAACTACCATCAGAGAATACTATAATGAGCTCTACACAAATAAACTAGAAAATCTAGAAGAAATGGATAAATTCCTGGACACATACACCCTCCCAAGACTAAATTAGGATTAAGTTGAATCCCTGAATAGAGGAGTAACAACTTCTAAAATTGAGGGTGTAATTAATAACCTGCCAACGAAAAAAAGCCCAGGACCAGATGCATTCACAGCCAAATTCTACCAGAGGTACAAAGAGGAGCTGGTACCATTCCTTCTGAAACTATTTCAAATAATAGAAAAAAAGGGACTTCTCCTTAACTCATTTTATGAGGCCACCATCATCCTGATACCAAAACCTGGCAGAGACACAACAACAAAAAAAATCAGGTCGATATTCCTGATGAATATCGATTCAAAAATCCTCAATAAAATACTGGCAAACCAAATCCAGCAGCACATCAAAAAGTTTATCTGCCACAATCAAGTCAGCTTCATCCCTGGGATGCAAGGCTGGTTCAACATACTCAAATAAATAAACATAATCCATCACATAAACAGAATCAATGACAAAAATCACATGATTATCTCAACAGATGCCGAAAAGACCTTCTATAATATTCAACACCCCTTCATTCTAAAAACTCTCAATAAACTAGGTATTTATCTCAAAATAATAAGAACTATTTATGACAAACCCACAACCAACATCATACTGAATAGGCAAAAACTGGAAGCATTCCCTTTGAAAACCAGCAGAAAGCAAGAATGCCCTCTGTCACCACTTTTATTCAACATAGTATTGGAAGTTCTGGCCAGGGTAATCAGGCATGAAAAAGAAATAAAGGGCATTAAATAGGAAGCGAGGAAGTCAAATTTTCTCTATTTGCAGATGACACGATTGTATATTTAGAAAACCCCATCACCTCAGCTCAAAATCCCCTTAAGCTAATAAGCAACTTCAGCAAAGTCTCAGGATACAAAAATCAATGTGCAAATATCACAAGCATTCCTATACACCTATAACAGACAAACGGAGAGCCAAATCATGAGTGGACCCCCATTCACAATTGCTAGAAAAAAGAATAAAATACCTAGGAATGCAACTAACAAGGGATGTGAAGGACCTCTTCAAAAAGAACTACAAATCACTGCTCAAGGAAATAAGAGAGGACATAAACAAATGGAAAAGCATTCCATGCTCATGGATAGGAAGACTCAATATCATAAAGATGGCCATACTGCCCTAAGTAATTTATAGATTCAGTGCTATCCCCATCCACCTACCACTGACTTTCTTGAGAGAATTAGAAAAAAAACTACTTTAAATTTCATGTGGAACCAAAAAAAGTGCCCTATATCCAAGACAATCCTAAACAAAAAGAACAAAGCTGGAGGCATCACACTACCTGACTTCAAACTATACTACAAGGCTATAGTAACAAAAATAGCATAGTACTGGTGCCAAAACAGATATATAGATGAATGGAACAGAACAGAGGCCTCATAAATAACACCTCACACCTACAACCATTTGATCCTTGACAAACCTGACAAAAACAAGCAATGGGGAAAGGATTTAATAAATGGTGTTGGGATAAATGGCTAGCCATATGCAGAAAGCATAAAATGGATCCTTACTTACACCTTATATAAAAATTAACTCAAGAACTTCAACAAATTTACAAGAAGCAAACAACCCCATCAAAAAGTGGGCAAAAGATATGAACAGACACTTCTCAAAACAAGAAATGAATGTGGCCAAGAAACATGAAAAAAAGCCATCATCTCTGGTCATTAGAGAAATGTAAATCAAAGCCACAATGAGATACCATCTCACACCAGTTAGAATGGCTATCATTAAAAAGTCAGGAAACAACAGATGCTGGAGAGAATGTGGAGAAATAGGAAAACGTTTACACTGTTGGTGGGAATGTAAATTTGTTCAACCATTGTGGAGAACACTGTGGAGATTCCTCAAGGATCTAGCACCAGAAATACCATTTGAGTCAGCAATCCCATTACTGGGTCTATACCCAAAGGATTATAAATAGTTTACTATAAAGACACATGCACACATATGTTTATTGTAGCACTGGTCACAATAGTAGCGACTTGTAACCAACCAAAATGCCCATCAATGACAGACTGGATAAAGGAAATGGGGCACTTATACACCATGGAATACTATGCAGTCATAAAAAAGATGAATTAATGTCCTTTGCAGGGACATGGACAAAGCTAGAGGCCACCATTCTCAACAAACTAACACAGGAACAGAAAACCGAATACCACTTGTTCTCACTTATCAGGAGGAGCTGGATGTTGATTACATATGAACACAAAAAAAGGGAATAACAGAGACTGGGGGCTACTTGAGGTTGTAGGCAGGGAGGAGGATGAGGATTGAAATACTACCTTTTCAATACTGTGCTTATTACCTAGTAACAAAATAATCTATACACGAAACCCCTGTGACACACAACTTACATATGTTACAAACTTGCACATCTTCCCCTGAACTTAAAATAAAAGTTAAAAAATAAAAGCTGTCTTCCAAAGGAAATCTAGGAAAGTTCTATACAAAGGCAAAGCACATATGAAATGTATGGTCTTCTAAATATTCATGTTAAGGTAATCAGTAAATACCTAGAAGACATAGATTGGCTTAGAATGTTATAAAGATGCTAATCATTTATAGTTTGTTTAATCAACATAAACTTGTCCACGTGGGGTAAATGATGTATGAAGAAGCAGAAAGAGCATTACTTAGTTACTGAAGTGAAAAATGATGAAATATCTTGGATTCTACTTGAACAAGATTGTGGGAGGTATATTAAGAAAGCATTGGCAGTTTTCATTTTAAAAAGGAAAATAAAAATTATAATCTTGGCAATAAAGAGCTGGAACTAGGGGAAAAACCTTTATGAAATTTGAAAATGTAATAAAAAATTTACAATTCAAAAAATGAATATTTACAATGAGGAGAGAAATGAAAATAAATTATACTTTGATTCCTTCTTAACATGACAACAAAATTTCAACATTTTCAACAAAAAAAAGAAGAAATAATTTATGCTTTTTTGCATGATTCTTCAAAATATATTATTGTAGTATTCTACAGCATATGTTCTCAAGATACAGGGATTTCAATAAATTCCATATTGCATGATTATCATCAAAAATATGGAAAGGTATATTGACGGGGGCTACTAAAGTTCTCTGCTTATAATTTTATGCAACTAATTATTTGATTTATCCACAGACTAGCTTCAGGCTCTGAACAATTCCAACTTTCTTTTTTTTTTTTTTTTTTTTTTTTTTTTTGAGACGGAGTTTCGCTCTTGTTACCCAGGCTGGAGTGCAATGGCGCGATCTCGGCTCACCGCAACCTCCGCCTCCTGGGTTCAGGCAATTCTCCTGCCTCAGCCTCCTGAGTAGCTGGGATTACAGGCACGCGCCACCATGCCCAGCTAATTTTTTGTATTTTTAGTAGAGACGGGGTTTCACCGTGTTGACCAGGATGGTCTCGATCTCTTGACCTCGTGATCCACCCGCCTCGGCCTCCCAAAGTGCTGGGATTACAGGCGTGAGCCACCGCGCCCGGCCCAACTTTCATTTTTATTCCCCTCTTACATTCTTCTGATACTTGCAGTGTTATTGTATAGGACACAATTATATGTGATATGATTATCAGAATATGACAACTAGCCCCACAATCTTATGTCACAACATGGGGTCTGTTGGCACAACTTTCTGTAAGTGTATATTTGGAACTCATTTCTATATCAAAATAGCTAGCAATAGCTTAATTCTTTATGGAAGTAACTGAAAACAATTTAACTTCCTCTTACTAACCAAAACTAAATGCACCCCTATTTAACATTCTGTTACTCAGACACCAGAAATATCATCAGGCACTCTAACGCCGCTTGACACAAGGAGAAGGTCATAGAGGGAGTTAAGAGCAGAACCATGCAGCTCTCTGAATCAGTTGCACTTTTCTAGAAAGTTTGCAAAACTTTTATGAAAAACATATGACCAAATGAACACCTAGTTTCATCCCCAGGGCTTTAAAGGTGGTTTTTGCAAGTGGGAAATTTGAAACTTAAACGTTGTATATGTCCATATAAATCTACCTATAGGCTAGCGTCTATCTGTGGGTTAGGGAATTTGGAAAGACTATCCAAAAAAAGTTAACCATGTTATAGAAAAGGTGAAGATAAAGCAACCAAGGTACAAACACTGGAAATACATTATGAGATGTAAAATAACTTTAACATTATTCAATATGTTCACTCTCATATTGCTGAAGGGAGAAATACGGTCTTAAAGAAAAAGTGATTGTTCCTGATAGAACAATAATTTATTGCAAAGTACACAGTCTTACAAACACTACCCTTGCTGGAATATGATTAGATTTTTGTTCCATGATGTTTCATATTCTTTCCTACTTCAGAGCCAGTCTTGAAATAAAAATAAGAAAATTACAGGTCACTTTCGGAGTCCTCTCAGTGCATCTATGTCATTTCCCTGTCCCTGACCTCATCTTAGGATCCCATTGCCGTTATGAATCCAAGTGGATGGGAAACCATCTTCTTGACTTTATGTTGGCTTTATGTAATACTCAGTTTTGTTTGCTCTCTCTCTACTCTGTTTTAACACAAGATTGCAAGCTGTATTTCTTAACAATTATTTATTAATTATACATAAAATACTAGATGTTATTAGTAATCACATATGAGTAACAAATATTAAAGTTAGAAATGCAGTTGAATTAAAAAAAATAGTTTATGTAAAATGCAATAAAAAATTGCTGTCTTATTGGGAAAATCAGGCCTAAAATAAAGTTCTACACATGATTCCTCTGTCATTTTAGATGGTATAAGTTAATACATGATGGAAGTTTGCATTTTATCAGAAGATGATCAAATAAATGACTTGCTGCATTTGAAAGCCTGATACTAAACCAATCTGCATAGGAGAAAAATGGGGGGAAGGAAGACTTCCTAGTGAGAGTAAAGATAAAGAATTCAAGCCTATCAATAAAGTTGAAGTTGATTTTTTTTCTGCGGAGATTTTCTCATATTCTGAGACAATTTTTAAAATAATATTTTTAAAGGAAGTAAAATATACAGAGCGCCTAAGAGAGCAACAGAAACCTCCCAGTCTGCTGAGGCTTTAGGAACGCCTGTCATGAAAGGAGGTCTGGGTGACATAGAAGTAACAGTGATACAATATGAGTGCCTTTTATTTTTGACAGTCTCTGCATTTATCAATTGCAAATGCAGTGTGTATACAGCCAGCAATTTGTCAGGGAGTGTTGTAGAAATATGTCTGACCCAGATAAAAAGATCTATGTATAGAAAAGTTTTGTGTATCTGAGCTGCATGCTCAGTAATCAAACAGGGAAACGAGAATAACATGTTTCTAAACTCCTGGCCATTGAGAAAAGGGCACTTCATATATTGTACAATGCAGATACATACTATCTAAAGTAATAATAAAGATCAGTAAAGACCTGCTCTTACTACAATTTAGACATCACCAGTAGAATTCTCTTCTAAAGTTTCTACGAAGACAACACCTCCTATCTATCTACATTGCATGATTTACAGTCAGGACTAGGGTCTAAATCCAAGCTGAGCAATTTACTGCCGTTATGATTTTAGGTAGTCAGAATTAAGTTTTTCTTTCTTGGCACATAAAAAAAAAATAGTATCATTTAATGATTAGGCATAAAATTGCTGAGTTGTAATATAAGATACATTTTTTGCATAAATTCTAAAATTCTATATAGTTTATGTACACACACACACACACACACACACATACACATTTATGCATGTCGTGTCTATCTTTTCTACTTATCACTTTTGTAAAAGATGTAGTTTTAAAAATGATACAATGTTCATTACCTGAAAGTATTTCCATATATATGGTCATGGTAGGTTTCTCTGACAGGTATGGCACTCAAATCTCTTAAAAGAGTGTTTTTACTTTTTTTTTTTTTTAAAGTAATCAACCAACATTTATTTATTTATACAAACTTTAAACTTTCTAATTTTTATTTTTTTAATTGTAATTGACAACAATTATATAAGTTTATGGGCTGCAATGTGACTTTTTTCATTTATTTTAGATTCAAGGGCTACATGTTTACATTTGTTACAAGGGTATATTGTGTGATGCTGACATTTGGGGTACAATTGAGCCTGTTATCCAGGTAGTGATTATTTTACTCTAAAGGCAGTTTTCCAACCCTTTGCCCCTCCTTTGCTGTCCCCACCTTGAAGTCCCCATTGTCTGTTGTTCCCATGTTTATGTCCAAAACGTATGCTTTTAAAAAACAACCTCCCATGGACTGTGTTCCCTACTCTATGATCATTCAGTGTAGATGGATGGAGTATCCTTCATGGTGGTATTTCATTATGCTTACAAAAAAACTATGTTGAAAAGATAAAATATATAAAAGGATTTTTTTTTCATCAGGAACTTCAGTGAGATAAGTATTGTGCTGCAACAGCATACGATCATTCAATATCCACATTTATTTTCTCCTTTCTCCCTCATTCTATAATAATGGTTCCTAATCCAATTTAAAGTTTGCCACCTGATGATAAATTGTTATTTCAAACCACATTTAGCAAAGGACAGCAAATTGCTCTTAGAATTATGTGATATTCCCTGGAATCTGTATCTTTTATTCTAAGTCATTTTCCCTTCTGCAATTGTTATTCTTAGAAGCAATGTCTGCCACTACTTGCATACATAGAAGAGAGCAGCTAAGAGTAAACATTGGTTGCACATCTTTAATATGGGTATTAATAGTAATAAAGGAAATCCTTTCCAAATAAAGATTTATCTTTGATATTTCAGTAGTTTGATCCAAAGGAAGAAGAAACAGGAAAGTCTTTGAACACACTTTTCTCTACAGTTTTAATGATGCATTGGGAGAGGGCGAGGCAACGAGAGACACAGAGAAGCAGGTGGGAGGGAAGTAAGGAGGGATGATGAGAAAAGCAGAGTATTGAGTGCTCACTGCTGCTACCCCTCTGTCACCCCCCCAACCATTCTTAAACACTAATCTTTTGTAGCTTGATGGAAAAGAAATGAATGCATTTAGAGCAGAAACAAAAAAAAGCACTTGCATCAGTTGTTCATTGCTGTGTAATAAAATACCCCAAGACATCTCTAGTCACCTTGAGAAGGGTTGAGGATACACGGGGTCATCATGTTCATTAGACGCTATGATTGTGAAAATGTACCATAGATGATATACCTCCCCAATATACTAATAAGTGCAGCAAAAGCAATCGTTTTAATTTGAGAAAACTCTTTATTTGTAAATAGTTCAAAAGCATAATATTTTAACCAAATAGCTATACTAGAACTTAGCCAGTAAATAATCTCAAATAGGAAATTAGCTGTTTTTCAATAGTGAATCCTGTGTAAGGTAGAAAGACATTTATATTGGAAGGGTTGAAATTATTGCCCCAAGTCCCCTAGTGTTTAATAACTTAAGGCATATATTTGGGGGGGGGTAATTAACAACATATAGTGGTAGGTATGCCTACAGTGATACAGTAGTAAGTTTTGATAGGTAAGAAATTTTGTGGAATTCTGTACATGATAACATCTATATCAACCTTATGAATGTGTACTGTTTGGAGGGATAAAAGGTATTTAGGAGATAAACCTGACATGGAATTACTGTCTACTATTATAAATGTTAAATTTTTAAAAAGTTTTCAAAATAAGAAAGGTATCTCTGAGAAAAATGCAATTAATTCCTATTTTAAAATATTAAAATGCCTACATTTTAATTTCTTAAACATATAATTTACTCATTTATTTGTGCAACACCTTTATATACTTGCTAAGTTTGTATCAATGTTACAGGCTTCAGTTAAAAAAATGAAATTGTAAAAAGACCCTGCCACCATAAGAGTCAAAATCTAGTAGAGTCAGGCAAGTAAATTAGTAAAATACATCATGTCAGATGGTGAACGCCAAGGAGACAGCACAAGGAAGGGAGGAGGGAAACTCTTCTGGTGGAGAGACCTTGCAGTTTTAAGTTAGGTGGTACAGGAAGATGTCACTGAGCAGATGGTATTTGAATAAAGAACTAAAAAACTAAGCCTTAATGTGCCCTGTGACAGTGAGCATTTCAGGCAGAACCAGAAGAGTAAATGCAAGTCAGTTACTGAGGTAGGCATGCATTGGCCAGGTTTGAGCTACAGCAGAGAGGCCAGTATGCCTTGGGTTAGTGAATGTAGGGGACCTTAGTAGCAGATAACACGGGGAAGAGATTAGGCATAGAGGAAGGCAGATTGAATGAACGTACAATGACTAAGCCTTTCCAAGGCTGTTGGCTGTCATCTGATTGATGTGGGAAGGTTTTGAAGGGATTTCAGCACAGGAATGACATAATCTGATTTACAATTTAAAAGGATTATTCTAGTACTATGTTGTAAGTAAATGGTGAGTCAGAAAAGAAAGGAAGAAACATCCAGGCCGGTTAGGAGGCTATTAGAATAATCATTTGAGAGACCATGGTAGCCTATGCCACAGTAATAGCAACAAAGGTGATGAGAAGTAATCTGTGTTAAATATTTCAAAGGTTTGGAAGGAAGCACTAATCAGATTATCCAATATCTTGGATGTGGGCTATATTAGCCAACTTTAATTTATGTTGCATGACAAACAACCTCAAGTCTTCCCCCAATTGTCAGTAATGTACAACAATGAGCATTGATTTCTTGCTCCAGTTACATAAAGCAGCTGTGGGTCTGGGTCTGCTCACCTAAAGGTCAGCCTGGAGCACTTGACTTGTGCTCATGTTTACTGTGCATCCTACAATCCAGGCTGTGGGAGCAGTTTCAATCACAGAAATGCTGTATTCATTGCACAGGAGCGGTGCCACAGCCACAGTGAGCAATCTTCTTAAAAGTCTTTTGGGGACAAGTCATACCTGGTTACATTCCATTGCCCCAAGCAAAGTGGACAAGCCCATGTGACTGGGTGGGAACAAACACTTCTCCTCTGGGAGGTCTCTCGGGTCTCTATCTGACAGAGGAGGTAGAAAGCATTTAGCAAGCACAGCACAATCTTCCACATTGTAGACAAGAGAAACCAAGGCGTTTCTCCTAACAAACTAGAAAAATGATGTCACTGTCCACGGAGATGGGAAAGAACAGGTAGAATAAGTTTAAAAGCAGACAAAAAATTGATGGTAATATGAAACTGTGATGGGATATTGGAATTATTTTAAACATGATCATAAAAATTTATTATAGGAGGTAGAAAACATAAGTTATCCTAGGTCTGGTCAGTCATATAAATGACATGAAATAAGGTACTAGGTCATTTTCTTTTTTTGTTTGAGACGGAGTTTCACTGTTGTTACCCAGGCTGGAGTGCAATGGCGCGATCTCGGCTCACCGCAACCTCCGCCTCCTGGGTTCAGGCAATTCTCCTGCCTCAGCCTCCTGAGCAGCTGGGATTATAGGCATGCGCCACCATGCCCAGCTAATTTTTTGTAGTTTTAGTAGAGACGGGGTTTCACCATGTTGACCAGGATGGTCTCGATCTCTTGACCTCATGATCCACCCACCTCGGCCTCCCAAAGTGCTGGGATTACAGGTGTGAGCCACCTGTAATTTCATTTCAAATGAAAATGGCCACTAGGTCATTTTCATTTGAAGTGAAATAACCACTCAATCCAGAACAATTAACAGGGAGTAATGAAAATACCTGTATTCATACACGTAGCCCATTTCAAAGTCATATAGTTATTATTCACAGATCATCGGCTACATTTAAGGGATGGTGATATTCAAGCTGTCTTGTATTTCACATCTCTAAGTGTCATAAATATTCCCTTTACTATAGAAAAAGCAAAGTAATATACAATCTATACCGAATAATTATCAACATACATATCCCTTGTGTAGACATAGCATTCTGTAACCCTTGTGAAAGTCCTGTTTCACAACGATATATCATGTTTCTCACATCACTTAAGCTGCTGGTACATAGGTTTCTAAAGAATTAGGGAGGGTTAATCTGCTTTTGGCAGAGATCAGCAAAATTTGCAAGCATTTTGGCCTTTCCATCAAGACTCGTAAAATATTTCAGAAACTACAGGACAAAAAAAAAAAAAACAAACCCAACCCATCCAAGCAGAAAATTAAAAAGCAATCTGCCAGTTCAGTGGAATTCAACCTTTGCTAGGCTGCAAATGCTGGTAAAATGGTTAAATATTCATTCATGATTACCCACAGACATAAAGCTACAGTAGAAACATGAAAAAAAAATACAGACTATGGGGAGGATGGGAAAGAAAACAGGACTAAATTGTGCATCTTATTGAGCAGTGCTGTTTTTAACTTGATTTCTATCAAGATGCTGAAAAACTGAATTTAGATAAGACAGGGAAGAAGAGGGGTATCACTTCCCCAACTCCTGGTTTAAAAGGGATACTTTTTACTCTTTATTTTTGTATTGAATTTCTCACTAAAATTTCCTTTGATTATGGAGTTGCACTGTTTTTCTTGCTTGAGAGTAAAATCATCCACAAAGTCACCACTCATGAAACTCAAAAAATGTTTGTCATGTTGACTGTTAATCTCCTAAAAGAAAAACAAAACAATACTTGGATAAGGCAAGGCTGAGTTTATTAAGCCTACTGTGGTAACGAAGAACACTACCTGGTCAAAGCAGTGTCTTGAAAAGGGAAGTCAGAGGAGGGTGTCTATATAGGTGCAGCTTCTGGGCTGAGTGATTACTAAGGCATCTTGCAAGACAGAGCACCAGATAAGGCCGGGCAGAGTTCAGAACTTAATACCTTTGGACTGGTGAGCACAGTGTGGCAAGAGTCTTAACATGATTACATGAGCAAGGCCTCAATCTTGACAGCTAAGCTGTTTACTTGGTTCATGGCCTTATATTCCAGAAGCAAGCAGTTAAATTATCTTTACTGGATTCAGTATTGTTTAACATAGGGTCAGAGAATTGTGCCCATTTCAATGCTCAGTTGAGAATTTACCTATTCTGTGAAGTTTTGGGAGAAAACTTCAATCAAGTTCAGAGATATCTGTTCCACGTCCCAAACTTCTCAAATAAGTAAGATTACTCTGGTATCATTCTCTGCCAAACATCACATTAAAAAATGACAGAAGCTGAAGCTGGAATTACATTATAATCCATGAAAGGCTGATAATAAAAAGAAGTATTTCAATGACTCTGTCTTCTTCAGAAGATCAAACAGCAAAGCTATGCAAGACTGCAGAAGCTACTTTATGATTTCTTGGCTCCCATACCTAACATTTTATTTCTCTTCTGGCCTATGAGTCCCAAAACTTGGCACATATATTACTCCAAAGAGAAGAAGTGATTAAAATCTACCCCCATTGGTTAGAAGCTGGTCACTACTGGCTTCTAATACTTCTAATACTTCTGGTATTATAGCAATATTAAAAAAAAATGCCTCAAACAATATGGCAGGCAGTATTGCTCTTTGAGGCCTAACACCAATTAAGGGAATCTGCACACTTCTGTTTCTTTTATTTCTAACTTACTACTAGAAAAATGTTAACTATATTTTTGAGTGGAAATGTTGCTATTACAGAATATGTGTTTCATTATGCAGATCCTATTGTTGAAATATTTACAAAGTTTTATTTGACCTAGGGAGTGTATAATTGTCAAGCTTTACATTCCCACATTAGGGGAGCACTACACACTGGGTTCAGTCAGGGGGAAATTGGGGAAGGACGGTGGAGGGTGGTGAGCTGGGGAGAGATAGCAAGGGGAGAGATGCCAAATGTAGGTGATGGGGAGGAAGGCAGCAAATCACACTGCCACGTGTGTACCAAAGCAACAATCTTGCATGTTCTTCACATGTTCCCCAAAACCTAAAATGCAATAAAATAAATAAATGGAAAAAGAAAAAAAAAAAAACAAAAAATTGTCTCTGTCATTTGGATTCTTGATGGCAATTTTTCTGCCTCTAAGAAACCTATAAAGCATAATTGTTCTAAATAACTGCACTATTAATCTGTTTAGTCCCATTTTTTTAGAACCTGCTGAAACAGAAACAGTCTATCACCTCTGCTTCCACCTGCGTCTCTTTTTCCTCCTTGCACTTCAGAGCTAAGGAATGAATACAGAATAGCTTCTTTCAGGAGAGTAAAGCAATTGATCCAGTAATTGCACTGTCAAGGGTTTTGGTGAGATAAGTATTTGGTGAGAGAAGAAATCACAATACAATACAGTCGAATAGAGGATTTCCTAAACAGTATGTTGCTCTCCCAACTTAATAAAATGTACCTCATCCTACATTTCCTAGTTCAGATCGAATATGAAGAGATCTATCTGCTCTATGGATTTAACACTTTAAGATAATTTACTTTGGACAAAGACCTTTGGAGAAGCTTCATTATATTTTGAGGTTCCCAATGAAATCAAGATGAGGCATGTGGCAGTAGGTATCTGCAAAGTCTCCACCCCTTCATTCTGCCTCTGTAGGTATATTCTTCACATTTATGGCCTTCCGTAGGCCTGATGCTTTCCTATTTTTGTTGTTGTTCTGCTTCATTACTGCAAATGTCAGGTGTCTAAGAGTGAGGTTATTAAACAACAAAACACAGAGTGATGGGCATTTGTAAAAGACACATATCCAGGGAAGATGCTTCTCTCCCAGTGTCAGCCATACACGCTGAGGCTTGCCTTCTCATCACTGAAGAAGACAAGGAGGCAAGAGGCACATTATGTCATAAAGACAATAGGAATCTTGCAAGTAACCTTTTCACCAGAAAAGCTCTCATTTGCCCTGCCTTGCATGTACTGTTCTTGAATGATTTATTGCCAAAATATTCTTGAATTACCCATATTGTTAATTTAATGTTCTTAGTAACAGAAACTAACCGTGAGGTTGATATAACAGAAAATTGCAGTCACCTCAGAGTAGAAATTATTATTTTAATCTAGACATGAAAATAAACATTTTTTTTCAGATGACTTAAGTCCTTAAAAATGAGGTCAAGTGTGCCTACCCTAAAGTGGCAGCAAGCCAGGGAAGGTAGGGCAGGGTGTTTCAAGGAAATTAAACACATTAAGCTTCTTTATTCTACTGTCCTCTTGTTTAGTTCTTCTAAAAGTCAGTTTTGATGGGGAGCTCTGGCAAATCTTTGTGTTCCATTAGTTTAATATGATAGAGTGAAATGCGTTCTGTCTGGCAGCGAGGGTATAAGGGGAGTGCTGAGATTTGAAACAGAAACCACAATTTTAATATTGACTGCAGTAGGACTTGTAAAACACATAAATCATACCAAATTACACCAGAATCATAGATGATCTAAGGATAAAATGCTTTAACACCAGCTCATTTAGATCTACATGTTCCAAGGTAAGAACACAGATAAACCAATGCAGCAAAATCTGCCTAGACTTGCGTTCTAAAGACAACTGCTTCCATAAAGTTTCTTTATTTGCAAATTCAGACCAATCCCTGCTAAGACCATTTTATCATATAACTTTGATCCCTAAACTCTAAGGGTATCCTTCACTGACTCTCTCCTTTAGAGACCCCCCTTACTTCCCCTGATATACATTCTCCGTCGGGTATTTTAATAAGTCTAACTTTAACTATAATCGTGTTGGTTGCTCTTAGTTGGAAGGCTTTGATTTAAAATACTGGAAAGTTAAGAGAGGTAAGTATAAGTAAAAATCAAGTTATGACAAGCTGTTGAATTACATGATTTGTTTCTAGGATTTTTCTCTAAGCATGTATTAAATCAAGCTTTCTACAATTTGCTGCTAAGTAACAATATTTTTTAAAGCCTTTCTGTGGAGGCAGAGAGTAGAGTGGTGATTACCAAGGGCTGGGGAGAGGGGATGGGATTGGGGAGATATTGGTCAAAGTATACAAAATTTCAGTCAAATAAGAAGAATAAATTCAAGAAATGTATTGTACCACATGATGACTGTAGTTAATAACAATGTAGTATTCTTGAAAATGGCTGAGTAGATTTTTAAGTGTTTTTACCACAAAAAATGATAAAAGTATGTCAGATAATGCAATGTTAATTACCCAAATGTAACCATTGCACTATACTTATACATATATAAACATTGTATTATACTTAATAAATAACTTTTTATTTAAGCAAATAACTTTTCAAGAAAATTTTCTCCAGGTGATTCTAATATACATCCAAATACGAGAACCTATAAGTTAAAATATTAACATCTGTCAACAAAACATTTTTTAAATGACATTATAAATTACATATATAAAATGCATTGGTCCATGATGAGTGACTTTGACACACATAAACCCCAGTCAAGGTATACCCCACACACAAGAACATTCCCTTATGCCCCTTTCCATTCAACCCTCTCCCATAAGTATTGTTTTTCTATCACCATAGATTAGTTTTGCCTGTCCTTGACCTTCATGTAAGTGAAATCACACACTAGAACGGTTGTTAAAAACTACTGACATGAGGTCCCAAAATGTCAACCTAGGATGAAAGAGCTTCGGCTTTGAGAAGCTCTTCAGATACATTTCACTGTAATCTCCTAATTTTCCACTTGAGATCAACAAGATCACATACCTAGTTAATGGCACAGCTGGGAACAAATTCATTATCTCCTTAACCCTCTTTATTGATAATCCTTTTATCATTCATCAACATGTTGACAAACAGCAGCTAAACTATAAACTTCAAAATATGCCTAAAACCCCAATTCCTACTGCTTCTACCTTAGTTCAGACCTGATGAAATACTTACCTAAACTATGTGGACAAACTTCCAGACAGTGTCTGTCTTTGGATTCTTATTTGTTTATTTATTTATCCATTCATTAAAAAACCACTCCTTGGGAATTCATAGTCTAATGAACCTCATTTTGCAGACTCCTCCTGACTTTATTACATGGATCTGATTATGAAGCCTTCCTTGGTTTTAATTATCAGGGTTACAAATATGTGGATTGCTGACTAAATGCAATCCACAGAGCTGATTTTTCTTTCTCATAAACTTAATTTAAAAATTGAATTACTTGCTAATAATTAAAACTGGGACAATTCTGAGTGATAATTTAGTACCCTGACTTTCCTTGAAACATAAGAACGTCTAATAACACCGAGCTCTCAGTTTTCTTCTACA